CAAACATAACCGACCACCATCAATTCCCGCCTTTCACTCTATGACCGTTCAGATATTTTTTAAGTGATATATCTACAACATTTCAAATTCACATTCATGATTTCGCATAAATTCATCTGATACTATCCTTCCCAAAAGAAACCTTTCCAAAAACATACGATCATTCTTATAACAACTCCCTCGGCTTCATTCTTATACACACGGCCTGATTCCCGTAATACCAGGGATATGTAGGCAACTCGGGAACTAGGGTTAAGCCCCCATTTTTTCAAATCATATCATCCCTCATTCAATTCGGCCAAAATTGGTCAATTTTTTCTTTACCCGATAACTCTTTCATCATTTCCGGGTAAAGAGGGGCAGTTGTTGATACCCAATTTTGCCCTCATATTTTTTCAAATAATATATATACTTTCAAAACATTATTTTTTTCATCATTATTTAGCTTACAAATCTATACAAGCACTTTTTATAATTATCCATAATTTTTAGAGCTTTAAAATTAATTTTCTTATATTTAAATTACATAAATATTTAGTAATTATCCCTTTGAATTATTTGTGATGACTTAATCATCCAAAATTACTATTTTGTATCCTCATATATGTCTCATAATATTTTTACTTTATTTTTTATATATATAATTACATTAGCATTTTAAAGTTATTTGCACAATCTTGCAATAATAGCCTATATTCATATACAAATGCTCCTTATTTATATTATTGGCGTCAAAATAGCATATTTATATTTTTATAATGCTAAATCAATATTTTAAATTATTTTAGTACATAAAAATATTTTTATTCATTTACTAATTATTTTTATAAATTATTTTGATAAATTATGTGTGTTTAAAAGGCTGGCCCAATTTTCAAACCATTTTTCGGACTAAAAAATGGCCCAACACCTTAGCCTAGTAACCCCAACCCAAAGTCAAACGACCCTTTTACAAGGCCCGGTCGGTACCCATTTTAATTAACCCGCCCCGTTCATTTTAAATCCCAGCCGTTGATCTTTTAAGATCAACGACCCTCATTTATTCCCCTCATTTTAATTACCCACCCCATCCCTAATCCTCTCATTCTCTTTAACCCGCCGCCCTAAAATTCTCTCTTCTCCTCTCCACAAAAACCCTAGCCGTCCTCTCAAATCTCTCCAAATCCGTCTCAACCATGGATTATCTCCATGATTTTTTTACCTTTTGTGTGTTATCTCATTATTTTCTACAAAACTATGGTATCACCTAGTACTTGCCTAAACATGGCAAGTACTATCTCTCAGAATCCGGCTATTCAACTTCAATCGCTTGAATCTGGACAATATTTAGTCCATATACACCATGACCAGGCTATATGGGTCCTATTAGCCAAAATTTCCGGACAATTTCNTCCAAATAGTTGTATCCCTATATTCATACTAAGATCTGTACTAATCATGTTGTAATGAAATTCTTTGACCTTTAAATTCGCTTTATTTATTTGATCACTTAGCCTAATTGTAATTCACATAATCTTAAGTTCGGTCGGAACACACAGTTGTGGACCTCGAAGAGTGCCTAATACCTTCTCTTTGAGGTAATTTGAGCCCTTACCCGATCTTTGGTGATGCTGACTAGTCAAATAGAGTCATTGCATAATAGGTACCCTAACGCACCTTAAAAACAGTTAGGTGGCGACTATTCTCTTTTAATACCTATCCTCCCACTCAAAAGAGTTGTCACAATGTCGAAAGCCCGCTTTTGCGAGAAAACGGGGCGCGACAGTCGTTTACTACAAACTTAACCCTTTTAAGACAATATTAAGGAACTAAGTGTTCCGATTTTGACCTGAATCCTTCCAAACCCGAACTAACCATCCCCGCAAGTTATAAAATAGTAAAAGCACATACGAGGAGTCTTAATTAGAGGAACAGGGATCTAGAAAGCAAAACGACCGGTTGGGTCGTTACACTAAAATGGTCAAATTTTCACATATAAGTCGGGTAAACACTTGTCACCTCCACACAACGTTAGGCAAGATACTTACCTCAAAAGCTCCCAATCAATACTCTGAAATAGCTTTCCCTTTACAATTCACCTCCGCTCGACTCAAATATAATCAAATTTGACTCAATAACATCAAATAATGCAAGAGTCAACCTCAAAGCCAACAAATGTTAACCTCGGGCTCGCCCGGTTAATACCCGAATTCAAGAATAGATTCTGACTACCCATAACCCCCACAAGTTCATATATGTGTTTTGTTTCAAAATTCGAGTCCAAATTGACTCTCAAAACTTAAATTCTCACTTTTCAAAACATAGACAAAGTTTCCCAAAATTCCACTTTGATTCTCATAATTTTGATGTTAAAACTCACATATACTCATGTAAAATAGTTGTAAATTGATCAAAATCACTTACCCAATGTATGTATATGAAAATCCCTCTTCAAAATCGCCTCTTACCGAGTCTAGGGTTCCAAAATATGAAAATGAGACCAAATTCATGTCTCTCTGCTTTTATGTCCAGTCGCAATTGTGACCTAGATTTCGCAAATGCGAACCCCACAAATGCGAGGAAATGATCGCAAAAGCGAAGCACCTCACACCCTTGATGTCATCGCAATTGCGATGAATAGTTTGCAATTGCGAACATGGGACATTTCGCAAATGCGACCCTTAAGACCGCAAATGCGAACAAGCTCACCCAGGCCCCCATCGCAAATGCGAACTCTGGGTTCACAAATGCGATCCTGGCAGACTTAGCCTAATATCACAAATGCGACATGTATCTCACAAATGCGAGACCTGCAATACCTGATCAAAACCAACAACTAAAACTCTTTCAAACACTCTGGAATGTGTCTGAAATTCATCTGAGCCCTCAGGGCTCCAAACCAAACATCAAAACAAGTATAAAAACATAACATGAACTCGCTCGCGCGATAAGATCATCAAATTAACATCCGAAACCATGAATCGGACCTCTAAAACATATGAAATCAATACGAAACTCAAGAACTTCTAAAAATACAATCTCGCGTCTGATTCCTATCAAATCAACTCGGAATGACGACAAACTTTGAAAACAAATTCCAAATGACAAAACGGACCTATTCTAAGTGCCGAAATAGAAATTCAAACACGATAGCTATGAAGTCAACCTACGGTCAAACTTAACAAAATTCTAAGCTTTTAAATTGCCAACCTTCGGCAAAATAACACAAATCAGCCTAGGGACCTCCGAATTCGATTTGGGCATACGCCCAAGTCCAAAATCACGATACGAACCTATCGGAGCCATCAAAATACCGTTCCGGGGTCATTTCCACAAAAGTCAAATCTCGGTTAACACTTTCAACTTAAGCTTCTAAAGTGAGAATCACTCATCCAAATTCATTCTGAAACATCCGAAAATCAAATCCGACCATGCAAGCAAGTCATAATACACAATACGAATCTACTCAAGACCTCGAACCACTGAACAGAGCCTTAAAACTCAAAACGATTGGTTGGGTCATTACACGTAAAAAAGAGTTGCTATTTTTGTCATAACGAGGAACAAAAGATTGGTGGCTGTATTTTACCGGGATTTATCAAAAAACATGACAATCGTAAGAATTTTTCATATACAAAAGTTCTGACAACGTGCTTCAAAAAGTCGATAGTGACTTCAAAATTCTTGTTGTAGGGTTATTTTACCAAATTTGCCTAACAGGGTCAAGATATAAATGGTTGTTCTAAAAGGTCCATTTAGCGTAATTTTGAGCATGTTTTTTAGGAAGAAATTAGTAAATAGCCACTTACAAACCATGCTATTAGAGTTTAGCTGATATTTAAAAAGCTATTAGACTTTAGCCAGTGATCCTTTCAAACGCAAAAATATTTTGGACGATATGCCCCCAACTGAAAACACAGACCAACTCGAGTAATCAGTGCTGGATTTTGAAGCTTAGACAAGTGAAACTTTAGCACACTGTACTAGAATTTAAAAAATTCCTATAGGTTAACTCCAGCAGTGTATACAAGTTAAATATTTTGGGAAAAAGAGGGAGTAACATGTCTAATATTCCTTTTTGATAGTAAGTATTTTACTTGTGTCATTTTTCCTAAGTTCTAACCGAAAAAGATAAAAGCGAGAAAAGAGAAGAAAATGATAAATCCAATTAAAGTCGAGACGAAATGTATATATGAGCTTTGGCAGTTAATTTTCTACTACTTTTCAAAAAGAAAGCTTCCACAATTTTTTTAACTATTACTCAAGGAAGCGGATTCATTTGAATGATAATTCTTCACATTTGAGAGTAAAACCTAGAGGACTAATACTGAGAATACGCATGTTAGTTTACCATATATATGAGTTTTTGAGGTCTTGTACTTAAAATGGAGTTTGCAAAAGTTTATGGACAAAATTCCCCCATTATCTTCAGTTATATGTGTGAAATGGGAAGTTTGAATTTAATTTGAACCAATAAATGGGTCATGATTTGTTTGCGTCGAGATAAGTTGAGTCAATTAAAACGCATTAAATTATGGTTCGTAACTCAACTCAGCCAAGTTTATCCAACTTCTCCTTATTTTATCTGTTTTCGTTCTTTCTAAAAGAGGGTGATTGCAAATATTTTTTCTTTGAAAAATAATAAACATTTTATTTCAGGTTTTGTATTCTTATTGGAAGATTTGAAAACTTGAATCAATCTAGCCCTGAGATGGTTTAACTTAAGGCAACAAACATTAAAGCATTCTGAAACATGTTAAGTTTTGTATTTTCTTTTCGCAGAATGAAACCTGTTGAGTTAGATGGAAGGAAAGGAAAAAAAAAAGGAAAAATTAAGAACATAAAAAGAATTTAGAAACCCATTAAATACAGCCCAATTTTATTTTTTTTGGTAATTAAACTTTTATATACCAGGGAAAATATTTACAAGCAAATCAGAAAATCCATACATATATGTTCCTATGCTTCCTATACTTCCTCCCCCTTAACTTCCTACTGTTAGTCTCATTTACTTCTATCTATTACATTGGGTAGTAATCCAGTTTACTTAGAACTTTCTCTACTTCCTTGTTGCTTTGACAATGCACTTCTTGTACTATCAGCTTGCCAATTATCTCCCAACTCCTCGCTTTGTCTTGAAAAATTCTGCCATTCTTTTCCTGCCAAACATAATAAACACATCCTGCTAGTACCATCTTGAATAGTTCTGTTCGTGCGTTCCTTCTTGTTGTCCAGTTTTCTGCCCATTTTAATTCCTCTGACCACCCATATATGGTTCTGCTAATGCCTTGCCATTTAAGCAACTTCTTCCATAACTCCGCTGCATATTGGCACTCAAAGAATAGATGCTGGATAGACTCATTTTCCTGCTTACACAACAGACATGCTTGATCAGTTTGGATTTCCCACTTTAGCAATTTATCCTTCGTGTACAGTCTACCATTTGCCACCATAGTTAGCATGAATATCCACCTAGGACACCATGCATTATTACATACCAATCTCCTCCATCTCACTTTGCTAAAATCACCTCGCAATATATGGTATATTTGCTTAAAAGAACAGTCACGCATTCTTCTTATATCTTCATAGTTGTATCCTGCAGCCTCAAAACTCTCTTTAGCTTTCACAATCTTTCTCATGATCCACGATTCTTGGTTCAGTTGTACTTCCCAGATGTTTTTATCCTTAATGTAATAGCTGTGTACCCATTGTATCCATAGCTTATTCTTCTCTTTACATAGGTTCCAGATTGTTTACTTATAGCTGCTTTGTTCCATAAGCTAATATTTATGACATTAAAACTTCCTGCTAATTTAGGTTGGCAAACTTTCTCCCAAGCTAGTAATGCTTTCTTTGAAATACTACTGTCCCCTATCCATAAGAAACTTCTGCATATTGCCTCAATCAGTTTTGTAATTTTCTTTGGCAGCATAAAAATCTGAGCCCAGTAAGTTTGGATAGAAAAACAGAACACTCTTGATGAATTGAATCCTCCCTGCATATGATAGGAACTTGGCTGTCCAGGATGTAATTATGCCCACTAGTTTGTCAATTAGAGGTTGACATTGAACTAGTGAGACTCTTTTAGAGCTTAAGGGTACTCCCAAGTATCTCACTGGTAGCTCTCCTTTTTGAATATCTAGGAACTCCAATATGTCTGCCTGCATATCATGTGACACACCACCAAAGAATATAGAGCTTTTCTTTTTATTGATCTCCAGTCCTGAAGCTTTTGAAAACTTCATAAAGCAGTTGTATAGAAGCTTAATTGATCCGATGTCACCCCTGCAAAACAACAAAAGGTCATCTGCAAATCCAAGCTGCAATATTTGCAACTTTGCACACTTAGGATGATAGTTGAAGTCTGGAATCTGATTCAAAGTCTTCAGACTTCTTGTGAGATACTCCATTGCCAGTACAAAAAGGAATGGGGATAGTGGATCCCCTTGCCTAAGCCCTTTCCTAGCTTCAAAAGGCTGAGTTGATGAGCCATTCAACATGATTGTATAAGTAACACGTTGCACACAAGTCATTATCCATTTTACAAACTGCTCAGGGAAAGCCAGTGCATTCAAGACCTGTTCTAGGTATGGCCATTCGATTGAGTCATATGCCTTCTTCATATCCAGTTTCATCATGCATCTAGGTGACACTCCTTTCCTTCCATAGCCTTTAACTAGTTCATGACTTAGAATGATGTTATCAATAATTACTCTTCAAAGGCAGATTTTGTCTTATCAATTAAGTCCTCCATAACTCTTTGTAACCTCTTAGTCAGAACTTTAGAGATCACTTTATACAGTGTGGTGCAACATGAAATAGGCCTATATTCTTTGATGCTGGTAGGATTTCTAACTTTAGGGATCAAGGTGATTGAGGTACAGTTGATAGGCTTAAACATATGTGTTGTATCAAAGAAATTCAGTACAACCTGTGTTAGCTCCTCACCTATGATTTGCCATGAATTTTTGAAAAATACTGCATTGAGTCCATCATACCCTGGAGCCTTCAGATCATTGATGTCTTTTAAAGCTTGCCATATCGCTTGTCTGGTCACTGGTTGGATCAGTTTAACTTGTTGGTCTCTATTTAGCACTGTCCCTCTCTTCATTACATTTGGATTAATAGCTGGAATTGCAGAAGCACTAGACCCTAGCAGTTGTTTATAATAGCCAAGTATTTCTGCCTTTATGTCCTCTTCCATATGTAGCTGCACCCCCAGTTTATTTGCGAGAGCATGAATACCATTCAAATTGTTCTTGTTCTTCATTTGAGCAAAGAAGTATGCAGAATTAGTGTCTCCCAGTTTCAACCACTGAACTCTTGACCATTTCCTATATATATTTTCCTCTATCAGTATCCATTTCTCTAGTTTACTCTTTAGTTCCTTTTCCTCCTCAATTAATTCTGTGTTCAGCACTCTACAACTCATCTTCTCCTGAACTTCCTGCAGCTCCCTTCTAGTTTCTTTGATTCTGTCATCAACACCTTTATAGTGTTGAGTGTTAAGCCCTTTGATTGCTTGCCTAACTCTTCTTAGTTTATTCCACACTCCCTGTATCTTTCCATCTGTTCCAGTTGTGTTTCATGCTTGATCAACTTCTTGCATAAATTGAGGATGCTCAGCAATGCAATTGAAAAATCTGAATGGGCTAGTTTTCTTCCTCTGCATTTGTGAGATCATAAGCTTAAGTGGGGAGTGATCAGAGACAGATGGTTCTAAGACTTGTATCCTCAAGCTAGGCATTGTCATCATCCAGTTAGAGTTCACCAGTCCTCTATCTATTCTACTATTTGTATGATTGTTTGTCCATGTGTAGTCCTTTCCCACAGTATGCAGTTCATTTATTCCTGTGTCATTCATGAATTCTCTAAAGTTCTTTGTTTCCATATCATGTATCATAGTACCATGCTGCCTATCTTGACTATTTAAGACTGCATTGAAGTCTCCCATTGCTAGCCATAGTCCTTGCTGCAAACTGTGTATCTGTCTCAACTTCTGCCACATTTTCAATCTATCTTTTATAGTATGCAAACCATATATTGCTGTGAATCCAAATGCTAGCAACTCTGAATGTGTTCTGATCTGCCCATGTATGATTTGTTCATCTATCTCAGTTGGCTCAAAAACAAAAATCTTGGATCCCATATTACTCAAATTCTATTGTTGTTGCTGAAGTTTGATATCCACTGCCAACCAGGAGCAATTTTCTTGATTATGCAGCTAGCTTTCTGTTCCTTTATTCTGTGCTCAACTAAGGCTATCACTGCCTTTTTATTATGCTTTATGAACTCCTTTATCTCTTTTTGCTTATAAGCTTTATTTAACCCCCTAACATTCCATATAGCCACACTCATACTGGCATAAATTGAGTGTCCTGGTACAACTCCTGCACCACATAGCTTCTCATCTGCATACTGCTTGTTCCTGGTTCATTTATTGCTTGATCATTTCCTAAAGATTGAAAGTCATTACTTCCAGCTACAGTCTGTTCTTCAACTTGCTTTGATTTGGCCATTCTAGCTGATGATTTACCACTGACTATTATCTACCCAGCTTCTTCAGGTTGCTTAACAATTGCAACCTGTATTGGCCTATTCTCTGGTGGTTTTATTGTTTCAGGTTTCTTTGTTTTCTCCTTCTCCTACTTATTGTCCTTGGAACTATCTCTGTCAGTCCTCTGCCAAACTTGCTTGCCTTTGTTTACTCTCCCTTGGTATGCCATCTTCTATGGTTGTTGAATTCTGTTTTCATTGTAATTATGCCCTATCTTCAGACATTTGTTGCAATAAGTTGGTTCCTAATTATATCTAATCTCTTATTCAATTGTTTTGCCCATTGGATCCTGCATCTTCAATCTTCTTGGCAGGGGTTTGGTGATGTCCATCTCAATTAAGATTCTCGCATAAGAAATTCTGACTGAACCAGTTGTACAATCATTAGCATACACTGGATTTCCCAATGCACTCCCTATCTTACTTAATGCCTTCATACTCCAGCAATTGAGTGGAAGATTTGGAAACCTTACCCACAAAGGAATGGTTCTTAATACTTTATCATGCAGATTGGAATCTGGTGTCCATGCTTTCATTACTATGGGTCGATTATTGACAGTATGAGGCCCAGTAAACAACACTTGGTTCCTTTCTTCCAAATTAGAAAATCTAATCACAAAATAATCTTCATTATGATAATAGATCTGAGGTTTAGTTGAGATTTACCTACTGAATTTATGAATCATTCCATTGCTCCTATTGTAGGTGAATCTTCGATTACATACAGCACTATTGCTGAGCTCCATTTTGCATTTTCTTGTTCAACATCCTCAAGATCTAGTTTCACAATTTTCTCCCCATCTTGAATCATCGGTGGGATATATTGAAGATTCATCCCTCCCATTGCCAATTTATTCCCTGTTACCACATTAACCCAAGATTGATTTCCTTTTACCTTCTTAATTTGCTCAGTACCTTTGGGAATTTCTACAGTGTCAGATTTGCATGGCATTGTTTCATTGCTATTTGGCATCTTCAACTGTGACTGAACTTTTCCACTCCCAGGTCCACATCCTATACCACTAGCAGCTACAGGTGTAGCTATCACTGCTTTCTTCTTGGCATTTTTAGGTGCTGGATCTAATTCCATCTTACTCTGCTCATTTTGCATGCTCCTCGGAGAGACAGTCGCATTTGGTTCTTCAATTCTCACCCCTTTTGGTGAGACAAACAGCGCCATTACTGCATTCCGTGCATCTGTTGATCTCTGGTCAGTGACCGAAATCTTCATAAGGTTCCGCTTGGGCCGTCCTCTCCCCCCCATGGCTTCCAACTGCGTACGTTAGCAGGTCCACGTTAACGTGCGCCGAGAGAAAACATTATAATCAATATATATTGGCTAAAGAAAATAAATAGTGAAACTATCGGTTATTTAAGTAAAGATCCCAAATTAAAACCTCTCCAAAGGTAAGTTGATCCGACAAATTTGCAACTTGGAGGATTAAATTGTACCATATGGCCGTTTTTGAGGTCATGCTTTAAATTTTGTCCCCTGTTAGAGTAGTGAGCGAGACTATGCCTTTGAAACTCTATATACTATATTAAAAACACGAAAACTCTTAACAAAATATCGTTTGCCCTTTTTACTCTTTAAAAATAAATTTTATACTAAACAAAATAATTATTTTAATTATTTTTCTCATATTTCAAAATAATTATTTAATTACTTTACTAATATTTAGGATTTTAAAATTAACTAAATTTTGTGTATTAATATTTTATTATTTAAGTATAAAGTATCTATAATTCAATCAATTATTCTCTTGGACTAATTTTTCACAATAAGTCAAACCATATTAACGTGTATACAACCTAAAAACAATACTATTATAACTTAAAGTGGCTTAGTCTAGAACAAACACAGGAAATATATTAAAAATAGATTCGGATCCAGAATTTGAAGTTTATGGGGTTTTTACAGTAATTACAAGTTAATATACNATATAAAAAAAATCTGCTCAAAAACTACTGGGTTTCTGTGAACCCATAAACCATACTCTCTATTTTATAATTCAAACACGGCTATTAATATAATATTTATGTGATATTAAAAAAATTATATTTATTGAAATGGGTACATGCT